AGAGCGTCTCGACGTTGAAGGAGGCTGATTTGAAGGGGAAGCGAGTGTTCGTTAGGGTTGATCTCAACGTTCCTCTCGACGATCACTCAAACATCACCGATGACACCAGGATCCGTGCCGCTGTTCCCACAATCAAGTATTTGATGAGCAATGGAGCTAGGGTTATCCTCTGCAGTCACCTGGTATAGCATATTGATTCTCTCTTCTTTTTTCTATCTGTGGATCTTTTTATCAGATTCAGATTTCACGGGTTCGATCTTTGATTTTGGGAGCTCGTTCTATGACCGGTGTGTCTGATTTATAGTTAAGTCCGAATTCGGGGGTTGTGTGTATTTGTATATGGGCCCTTCTTTTTACAAGCAAAGTTGCAATCTTTAGGCTCGTCTTCGTCTATTCTTCTGCTTGTGTTGATCCATGTTCGCATTAGTCAAGTGAGTTGGGCATAGTCTGCTGGCTTTGGTTGGACAAGCTCGCGTACCACAGCTGCAGTTGTTTTAGGAACGGCATGATACCGTCAGAGTTAGGTTCTGTCTAGACTGAAACTGGGGAAATTAAGCGTGTATTGCTTTTGTTTGTTATGTTTCATGTAATTCGGTATATGAAACTAGATGTTTTTATTGCCTAGGCCTAATAAGTCTATCTCTCTAATCTCAATCTGTGTGTTCCAGGGTCGCCCGAAAGGTGTTACACCAAAGTACAGCTTGAAGCCTCTTGTGCCTAGGCTGTCTGAGCTTCTCGGTGTTGAGGTCTGTTCCTCTTATGATTTCTCCTCTCTATGCAAGTTCTCTCGTACAGCCGGTTTTCCTAATTTGTTCTCTTCTTTTACCAGGTTAAGATGGCAAATGACTCCATCGGTGAAGAAGTTGAGACATTGGTAGCTGGGCTTTCCGAGGGTGGTGTTTTGCTATTGGAGAATGTCAGGTTCTACAAGGAGGAAGAGAAGAATGACCCTGAATTCGCCAAGAAACTTGCTGCCCTTGCCGACGTCTATGTAAATGATGCTTTCGGAACCGCTCACAGAGCTCATGCTTCTACGGAGGGAGTTGCCAAGTACTTGAAGCCTTCTGTTGCTGGTTTTCTCATGCAGAAGGTGCTTGAAAGTGTTACCACATTTGCTTTCATTTCCGTTAATGTTTTTTTTTGCTGATTAGATTGTCGTGGCTCATTGATGGTAATAGGAACTCGATTACCTTGTTGGAGCTGTGGCCAACCCCAAGAAGCCTTTTGCCGCCATTGTTGGAGGGTCAAAGGTTTCAACAAAGATCGGGGTCATTGAATCCCTCTTGGAAAAGGTTGACATTCTCCTGCTTGGAGGAGGTATGATCTTCACGTTCTACAAGGCACAAGGCCACTCGGTCGGATCATCTCTCGTAGAAGAGGACAAGCTTGAGCTAGCTAAATCCCTCATGGAGAAGGCAAAAGCTAAAGGGGTCTCTCTACTTCTCCCCAGCGACGTTGTTATCGCGAACAAATTCGCCGCCGATGCTGACAGCAAGGTAGAGCTATTATACAGCCCCCTTTTTCTTGATCACCATTATTAGTGATTTTTCTATTCTGTTTTGCCTGAAGCTTATGACGAAACTCTCTTGCAGGTAGTGTCAGCTTCGGACATCCCAGACGGCTGGATGGGTCTGGACATAGGACCCGATTCCATCAAGACATTCGGGGAAGCTCTGGACACAACCCAAACCATCATCTGGAACGGCCCGATGGGTGTCTTTGAATTCGACAAGTTTGCTGTCGGGACTGAGGTTTGCATTTGCGTCTTGATCAATGCTCGAATTCCCACTTTCCTACGTTTTCACAATCCCGTTCAAACCATATTCTCGTGTTCCCATTGCAGACCATCGCAAGGAAACTCGCCGAGCTGAGCGGGAAGGGGGTGACGACAATCATAGGAGGTGGAGACTCGGTAGCGGCCGTGGAGAAGGTGGGTCTGGCTGATAAGATGAGCCACATTTCCACCGGAGGTGGTGCCAGCTTAGAGCTTCTGGAAGGGAAGCAACTCCCAGGTGTTCTTGCACTGGACGACGCTTGAAAGGTTCGACTTTTATAAGAAATAGTAATGGTAAAAAGCTGAGATTCCTCTGCCTGCTCATTTGAGTTTTTGGTTCGAGCTGAGAGTTGGAATAAGAGATGAAATGAAAACTCACCTTGTCATTTCCGAGTTATTGAGATTCATCTTGTGGATGGATTCATCTTGTGTGTTTCCATGTTATTGAGATTACAAGGTTCCAGTTTTCGAATGATATATATACACGTGCATGTGTGTATAGATACATGCATCATATAATGGAATCAGAATAGATGTAAGCATTCGTCCCAGTTGTGTATGGAGGCTTAAAGGTGAACAGAAATTGCTCTTCTGAGTAGATGTTCCTCCGTTCAGTTGCTCAGTCCTCTTCGAATACGCCATGAATTTAGCATCTCTGGTGAAGCCTAGGGTTGCCAAAAATCATCGCATCGGTTATCAATCGGCAACTGGGTTTCCGTTTCTTCATCTGGCCATCAAAGAGAGCGCCTTTGAATCCTCAAATCCCTGAGTTTGCCGGCGTTTCTGTCCGTTCTTACTCTTTCTTCGTACCGATCTCAGCTTATTCCGTGATGGGTATGACGGAAAAGACCGTGGAATCGCTCGGGAGGACGAAGGAATTCGACTTCTGACCCGATGTGTTCATGTACAATGTGGTGTTGCAGGTGAAGAAGGAAAATAAGTTTCATTTTTTGTCAGCCTTGGCGGTTTACAACGACATGGTCAAGTGCAATTGTTCCCCAACGACATGGTCTTTGTTTCTCTGGCTCGGGATCCGGGGAATCATGGTGGCTCCAGCTCAACAACATGGTGAAAAATTACTGGGAATCCCGACAATGTAAAACGAGCAATGAAGGCTGCTAGGTTCTTTTTTTCGATTTTCGAAAATATATATCCATTCACGGCCTCTTTTTTTCGATTTCGGCTGCTTTAAACCTCTTGTTGAAGTAGGCAAGGGTAACGGTAAGGGCGGAAGAAGAAGTTGTGGTGAAAGATATAGAACAGAGTTTCGAGGGCGGAGTTATCGGATTGAACGAGTTCGGTTTAGGAGCTTATACGATATGGCTTATCGGGTTATTATGCCAATTCAATGGATTCAAAAGAGGCCGTGAAAGTGAAAGTGGTTTCTCCAATTTGCGGGAGGGGATGATCTTCCTCTCACCCCCGAGCTGTAAAGTTGATTCACAGCCTCTGCAAGAGGAGCGAGCTGGAAATGGCTTCAAGCTGATGCCGGGAGTATGTGATCCTCCTGAGGTATCTCCTACTCTCCAATGGCGAAAAGAGATTTGCTTTCGAGCTAATGAAAAGAATGGAACTCGAGGGGTTGTGACGTGGATTCGTTGCTCCGATTATAGGCGTAAAAGGGCCAAGTCCCGGCCACATGGCCAGGGGAACGGGGTGGAAACGGGAAGTGTATTGCCCGAATAGATCCTTGGATCGAGACATACAGTTTTCGAAGAATAGGTAGCCTCTTTCGTGGATTCGGGTCAAGGAAATGACTTGCAGAGAAGAGAGATGAAATGGTTTTCATCTTCTTGACCCTGAAGAGATTGATAACTGAGGTACCATGGAATATACACAAAAGCCAAGCAGTGAGATAGCACTGCGTGAGAGTTTCTTCATGTGCTTTGTATACTTCAGTCTCAAGTTATATAATCCTGAGAACAAATATACAAATCCTAGAGGGTTTTCGCAAGAATCATCTCCCATATATATATATCGTCGAGACAAAGAAGTTTAGAGATTAAGAAGAAATGAAGAAACCGTGTGGAACAACAACTATACAGCATACTACCTGGAAAAGAGGCTTTGTCTCAAATGCTCTGCATTACACGTTTCTCATATGGGCTCTGGTTTCACAGTATAATGCAGTTTCCGGAATCCCTGATGACACAATAACCGATCTTCCATCAGTAATCTCACCTTTGTTTGATTGAAAAAAAGATCGGTGCTTGGAAAAAGAAGAGGATGGGGTATGAACTGATTAGTTACCTCTTCGATTCTTCGTAGTAGCTCAAAGATTGCTCGAATTTGAGCCAAGCTGGACCTGCTTCCTGCAAATTTACATTCTGTGGACCCTTCACGATAGCTTGCACGATGAACTGTGGACTTCGGTCCCTGTGTTTCCGTACAATATATAAGTTTTTTTTCCTCTGGTGTTTGCGAATACCCTATCAGGTTTTGCTTCGTCGAGATTGAGAAAAGGGTATTACCGTCCTTCGTATGCCGATAGCCAGAACAAATAGGCTGTTCCAAAGTACATGGAGACAAATGGCTTGGTCAGATCATCGGCTGAATCGACTCTGTATGCCCGATAACCAAGCTCCCTTCACAAAGGAATACCGAAGGTAACAATGTCAGAATCGATATTTTGATCTCGCAATGTGTTCTGACCCGAAAAACGCTTACGTGTGTAACCAGGAAGCAGTTGCATAGTCCACTCCGAGAATTCCTACATGTTTTCCCACACCATTCACAAACCTCATGCTGACAATCTCTGCAACAGCGCAGATCGTAGGCTGCAAGGGACAAACTCGTCAGTGTAGAACATGGAAAGCAAGAAATAAGCCAGTGGTCTTCATACATATATATATATACTTACTACTCTGAGTCCTTTTGTGCTGAAGTACTTGGAAACAATGATTTCTGCAACAGCCTGAAAGAAGAGATATATGGCATCTTTCTTGATCAGGCAAAAGTGGAACGGAATGAAATGTCTTCAAGATTTATGATCTGCTCTAACTGCAGGGTTTAGTTAAAGACGGCACCTTTAGCTCCACTCGTGAAAGGTAAGGCCTCCTTTCACTGTCTTGTGAGAAACGAACCTTTCCCTTTTCTTCTCCTGATTTTGTCCATTCCTTACGTACAGCAGGATGGTTCCACATGTTCTCCATGTCTTCTGGGGAAGCTCTCGAGTCCCAGTACGTGAGATTAGTACCTGTTTAGCCAATACGGGATAGAATCAATCCTGAAAGGCTGAAGGAAACTAAAGGGACAGAGAGAGGATTACTTGAGTCTGGTGAAGTTGAGTGTATAGGGGGATAGCCACTTGCCGCCGTAGGGCCACCATCGCCAGATTTTCTGCGACAATGATTCGGTAAAAAAAACTGAAACTTTAATACTGAAATTCTGCTTATCTCGGCTTTCTTAGTTCGGCTACCTCAGTTTTGGTGGTCACAAAACTTTTAACATGTGAAGAATAATACCTTATTCTTGTAACAACAGTGTAACATGTACAACAAAAGAAACTTGGAAGCCTGTATGATGAGGGATCAGAAACAACCACCTTGATGGGAGAGATTCTTTGACTGAAAGGTAGCGTTTCCAATATGGTAATGTAGACTTGTGAGTGGCCTTTTTTGTTCCACCCTTGCATGTTCTGACGATAAACTCTTCGCTTCTTGGTCTGCAGATGAAGGGTTTTGTAAAAAATTCCAAAGAATGACAGAGAGGTAACTGAAAGGTTTTGAGATAAAGGAAGAAAACGGTAACTTGAATCACAAGTTAACCAAGTTAGATAAAGCCTCGGATCAGACTCAAAACGCTATAAAACATGTGGCAAACCCTTTCAAGCCTGATATGAGGCTTTGTCCACCCAGATTGGATTCCATGTTTTCCAAATTACCATTTTCTTCCTTTTATTTCACATGGATGTTACGACTAATGGATGTTATCTCAATGTCGTACTTATCCTGATAGTTTGACATCCATTTGAGGTAAGCTGCCGCATAGTATACGTTTGTAAAAGGCTTGTGAATAAGATCGGGATCTTCTTTTACATCATATGCTTGATAACCCTGTCCTCTGCAGTAAAGATTTGACTTAAAACTAGAACAGGAAGATATATTTCGAGTATCCTCTTGGAAAGTTGAGACAGTAGAAAAAAGCATTTCGTACCCGGCTAACATTTCTACTGTCTTTGCATCAATCTGTAGAAGACCTATACCAGTCTCCTTGGTCTTCTTGTTATAGCGCATGATGAGAGGCCTTCTGTCACTTTCAAGCTCAGCAAGTGCGCAAAGCATTTCCTGCAGAGAAAGAGTGGATATACGAGACTTCGAGATCAGGGAAACATATATCCGATTTCACTTTCCTAGTGGTAAAACTAGATCAACTTTAGAAAACTTTCTACTAGCTTTCCATTAAAGGAAATGTAATGAAGTGCTGACAATTAAAATTTCTCCTGTCATGATTTCAGACAGAAGAAACATTCTATCAAATGAGAAGCTCCGAGTTAAATGTACCGGATCTACGAATGTATCGAAATGTCTCCGGACAATAATATCAGCAACTGCCTGCAATAACAACGAATTCGGTAAGCAGGTATAGTTATCAAGACAGGTCTAAGAACCACTCATAAAATCAGCATCCTTCTTCTGTTAAAGGCATTTCTAATTGCAAATACAAAAACAACGATGTCTGAACAAGTTTTACCTTCATCTCTGTCTGTGTCAGATACGGCTGCCCATCTGGATCCCTTGAGAGGTGAACCCTTTGTCCCTTGATTTCTCCAACGTTTAGCCACTCTGCTCTCACTGCAGGCTCCATCCACATTGCTTCCAAATCTTCTGGTTCAGTGCAATCATTCCAGAACATGAAGCTATTTGCCATTTTGGCATTGTTGAACGACTCTTCTGTTGGCATCTGTTCAATGCAACATAGAACATGGATACTCTAGTAGAGACAATTATAAAACAGCAACAGGTGATGCAGACATTGAAGTACTTTGACTATACTTTCTATTATGTTTATCCTGAATGCGAAATCAAGCATGCGATAACCCATCTTCACAACTACTCTCAAATGACTTGATACAAGAGGTAGAAGAACACAAAGAACAGGGAGATTCGGATCAATATTGTTTGCGTGCAATATTCAAAAGTATGGTTTCAGCCGATGCATATTCTGCTAAATTAGGGACGAAATTTGAGTCCCTCTAACCAATACGTTGAATAACACAAACTCCTAGAATCTGAGAAGAAACGATTGATCCCACAAATCTTTGAGATCAATCAGAAAACGATTTCGGAAAGGAATTCTCTGGGGAGTGGATGAAAATGGGAGAAGAAGCTCAACAGCTCATCCGGAATTCGAATTCGTGCAAAATGCGAAACAAATACTAGCAAGAACACAGAAAAAAGATGCACACACTCAACGTGAATGTGCAGAAAGAGAGAATTACCTTTCCGACGGCATAAGCGCACAGGAAGAGAACGTCGGAGAAGAATCTCTGTCTAGTAGTACTAGTTGCTAATGTGATGTTAGTGGTCAAGTTTGAGTAAAAAGGTGTTTATGCTCTGATCTTCATCTGATTAATGTTCTCTGCTACTTTCTCTGGTCTTTTAACTTGGTACAATTTGAGGAAACCATGGAGCGGTTCGCCATTTTTGACGGGGGAGAGACAGAGAGGAAACATACAGAGAGGGAGGGAGGGAGGGAGGGCGATTTGGCAGAAGAAGGATGAGCGCTTCAGGAGATGACACGTGGCAACTCAAGCTGTCAAGCTCAGTACCTGGCCGGAATATCCAGCCTATAATAAGGAAATCATTGGTAGGGCCGGGTCAATCAGAAAAAGGTTTTGAAACGCGGCCCAGGGCAGTCTAACCGGCACTACCCGACAAAATATACTTTAGAGGCCGGCCCATTCAGGGCCTCAGCGACATGATTCATTTCTATCACAGGATATATTAATAGAAAAATAGCTATGATATTATAAAAATTCATCCTATATATATATATATATATATATATATCATTTTCACATACATTATTTTTCAGAAAAATATGATAAGTGGAATCCGGTCCAATTTGTACATTATTTTTTTGTGTATAAATTGGATAAATATTAGTAATAAATTGGATGATTTGTAAAGAATGTGTGTATTTTGATTATTTAATTAGAATATAATATTTTTGTCAAAGGGTTTCTTGTATTATAAAGTCAAAATATAGAGATATAAATTTGAATTTAGTTTTTTATTTCTAATATATTTCTTAAATAATTATGATTTGTTGAAAAGGATTATGCTTTGCTTTATATTAATAAAATCACTTATGTTTTTGTGAAAAAAATAAAAAAACAATTATTGTTGTTATATCCATGACATGATCATGACATAACACAAATAAGATGTACTCATTCTCTGAACTCGTCTATTAACATGGTATCGTCCGCAAACATTATGCACAACGGCATTTACTTCTATATATCTCTAATTAGTTTTGCCATGACTAACGCCGAAAAGATACGGACTTAAACAAAACCTTGTTGCAATTAAATGACGATATTCACTGTAGTTTCGATGGGCCATGGCGCACCTGAACATGGCCCACATATTTTTATAGCAACAGAGACTCGTATGTTGCACAGTAATGGCAGGCATATATATTCCTCAAAGCCTCCGCTGAATAAGATATTTAAAAAAAAAACAATTCGTCGAATTTAAAAAAGGAGAAACTCCGCGAACATTTTCTGGGATTCTTCGCGTTTCTTGGCTCTACACCTCCTCCAGAGAACCCACGGTCGAAGGGGTTTTAGGCTTTATCTGAGTCTCTTACCTCGAAATCTCCCCCTGTCCTTAGCTATGACCTTCTCTTCTTTCCTCAGATCCTCCGCCGCTGCTCCTTGCGTGGATTTCTTCTCTCCGCCGTCTTCTGATCATTTCAAGGTATGACGACGCTTCGTCTCTGATCGATATCTGAAATGCTTGCGTTAGCTTGTATGTCTTTCGCTTTGTGCTGGAGTTAGTTTTCTTTTTTTTTTTTTTTTTTTTTTTTTTTTTGCGTTTTGATCTGCTTGGATTTCGTTTCTGTGTGTCGTCTTTGGTATATTCGTCAATGAAGTAGGATTTTGACGTCTCTTCTTTAGCTTTGGTATTGATTTTCGTGTCCAGATAGCTCTGTATGTTGTCTCTGAAATCCCGGGTTTGAATGATGTAATTGTTGTGTGGAATGTTCCATAAAAAGAGTCGGAAAATGACTTGAAATTTCGAATTTATGTTTACTTTATGATATATATCTGTGTCATATCTAGTAAGAATCTCAAAGACGACAATCGCCGTTTGGCTTTTAAATTGAATTATGTGTCGCGAAAATTGTCATCATCTTTTTTTGGATATGGTTGCTAGTTTGCTACGTTGGCTGTTGTACTTGAGATTTTTTTCTGTTCATGTCTGGATTTGAGGTTAATGCCCTCGGGTGCAATTTAGTTTGCCTGACTCTATCTTAAAGATTTCATAAGCTTCTAAAGAAATTTCTGTGGTTTATTTTTGTTGATTTCCTCAAATATTCAGGTGTCATCATGCCTTGTGTTCAGTCATAATCTTACCTCATCAAACTTCTCTGATCCCGCTCTTTCTACCGGGTCATCTTTATCTCTGCAGTTCGGTGAAAAACAAAACTCTGTAACACATGCTAGTTGTTTATCACTCATGTTGGTTCTGTTCTGAAAGGGGTATGTGACTTTTACAGAAAATGCAACACAAGAAGTATGCAGCCCATCAAGGCCACAGCTACAGAAGTTCCACCCGCAGTGCAGAGTAAGAATAAAATTATCTATAAGCTTAATTATGGTATTTGGTGCTGCATGTTTATCCAGCTTGACTTGATTAGGGTCAGATAGCAGCGGAAAGACCAGGGTTGGGATCAACGGTATGTACTTTTATCCTCTCTTGCAGTAGTAGGTGGATTCATTTAGTTGTCGAAAACCAGCCATTTATCTATGTTTTAGATCCTTCTGATTATTCTATCAGTCTTGTACTTTGTTCTCTTGCCAAAGCTTACGTGCTTTCTTTTCTGCAGGTTTTGGTCGGATTGGAAGGTTGGTCCTTCGCATTGCAACCTTCAGGGATGATATCGATGTTGTAGCAGTCAATGACCCGTTCATTGATGCCAAATACATGGTGAGGATTTGTACTAGCTGATGTCTGTCTCTGTCTAGTAGTACTAGTTGCTAATGTGATGTTAGTGGTCAAGTTTGAGTAAAAAGGTGTTTATGCTCTGATCTTCATCTGATTAATGTTCTCTGCTACTTTCTCTGGTCTTTTAACTTGGTACAATTTGAGGAAACCATGAACACGGGATGGGATGTTTTTGTCTTGTCTCTGGCAAGTCGATATTTGATCACGAAACTTGGTGCAGGCGTACATGTTCAAATACGATTCTACTCATGGGGTTTTCAAGGGAACCATCAACGTAATTGATGATTCTACTTTGGAGTTCAATGGGAAGCATGTGAAAGTTGTCAGTAAGAGGTATTGCCTCAAAGACCCGGCTGATTGATGATTCTACTTTGGAGATCAATGGGAAGCATGCTCTTGTATATCTGTCCAGACCTGATCAAACTATACATCAATCGCCCTTTTCGTTTCGGTTGATTGGCATACGAACTTTTCCCTATAGAGAACCTAACATCTAGTTGATTCTTCTAACTCAGAGACCCGGCTGAGATCCCATGGGCTGATCTTGGAGCTGATTATGTTGTTGAATCTTCTGGGGTTTTCACAAACATGGCAAAGGCTTCCGCACATTTGAAGGTATGCATTCATGTAGACACCTGCACATTAAATTCCAACTTCTATATGTATAAGCATTTGAGTTCAACTTGATTTTGTAACTTTAAATCATCTTCTTACAGTTGTCTGTATTTATTTATCTGGTCTTGTGTTGTTTCTGCAGGGCGGTGCTAAGAAAGTGGTCATTTCAGCCCCTTCGGCTGACGCACCCATGTTTGTGGTTGGAGTGAATGAGAAGACATACCAACCAAACATGGATATAGTTTCCAATGCAAGTTGTACCACCAATTGTCTTGCACCTCTTGCCAAGGTATGTAAAGATGCAAAAAGATCTCGTTTCTCATGAATGAAAATTTTACCTAAGTGTAATTCCGTGACTTTGGTGAAATAAACTGATCTCCTCCTTGCTTGTTAATGGCAGGTGGTGCACGAGGAATTCGGTATTGCTGAAGGTCTGATGACAACTGTCCATGCAACCACAGGTATATCTCGGTTTTTTGTCACTGTAATTACTTAAACCTTATAAGACAGTTTAAATTATCCATTTTTCTACATATTTTTCTTTCCATACTCAGCAACACAAAAAACTGTGGATGGACCATCAATGAAGGACTGGAGAGGAGGCCGTGGTGCTAGTCAAAACATCATTCCTAGCTCAACTGGTGCTGCAAAGGTATGCATATCGCCGGCCGGTCTGCATTTATCATGTCCAGGGATGTTTGAATCACCTTAAAGCATTTAGTTATGGAATCATCATCATAGTAATCCAAGCCCTGATTTTGGGTGTCAAAAGGCTGTAGGGAAGGTCCTTCCAGAACTCAACGGAAAACTTACGGGAATGGCATTCCGTGTCCCGACACCCAACGTCTCTGTTGTGGATTTAACTTGTCGGCTAGAGAAGGGTGCTTCTTACGAAGACGTTAAGGCAGCCATTAAGTAATGATACCTCTGAACTGACCACTAAAAGCCTTTTGTTCCATTATGGTTTTACCATGAAGTGAAAGATTCAAACTTGGTGTGGTGTTATAGGGTTGCCTCAGAAGGGCCTCTTAGGGGAATTCTCGGGTACACAGACGAGGATGTTGTATCCAACGATTTCGCCGGCGATTCAAGGTCTCTTCTCTTCTCTGCTCCAAAAAAAGTTATGGATTACTATAGTCATAGTTAGTTTCTGAATCGTCGTCCTTTTGGTTGTGAATTTTTGCAGGTCGAGTATATTCGACGCCAAGGCCGGGATTGGATTGAACAATTCCTTCATGAAGCTCGTCTCCTGGTACGACAATGAATGGGGTTACAGGTAACAGTTTTTCTCTCTCTCTATCTCTCTATAGGCATGTTGGTTTGACCAATCCAAACCGAAAACCCATATATGAACCGAGTATGATATAAAACCAGAACCGGAATGGTTTTTCTAAAACTGAAAACCAAATCCAACCTAACCGAAATGAATCGAATAGAGATCATTTATCTGAAATTTAAAAACTCATGTTTATAAATCCACCTCTTGTATTTTATGTTTCTTGGTGGCAGCAACCGAGTGCTTGATCTGATAGAGCACATGTCGTTGGTCGCAGCGAGTCGCTGAGACGAGAGAGGGATGAAAGCCGTAGAAGCCAACAAAGCTTTGTCTGCCTTTTACATTACCTGCTATGCTATTCTATGTCAAGTCTGTTCGGCTCTTTTAGCCACTTGGCTTTTATACAGATATATATATGGTTTAATACCATGCGACTTCTCTCAATAATAATAAAAAAATTGTTGTACCAAAAACGTCAGTGGAAGGGAAAAAAAAACAAGTCAGGATATGATTAGGAGATGCATGGTTCTAGCTCCTTATTGAAACGAATCTAATGTTTTCGCACACAAAAAAGAGAGATGTTTGACTAGGGATATATATATATATATATATATATATTGAAAGTCCAATTTCATTTTTTTAAAGTTTGTATTAGAATAATTAAAATAATAAAGGATAGAGTGTTGTGAATGGTCCAATATTCTATTAATCCCCCCAACATGATATATTCGTTTCACGCTTTCAGCGTCACAGTTTAAAGGCGGCACTGTTCATGCATTCCTTTACATATTCCATTTCCTCAACCTTTTTTTATTTAGTTTCTCATCTAATATTCGACTTTTGAAAAAACGAGGACTAAAGCATCTTTGTTTATTTTAGGGGAAATATTTGGATTTTCGATTTGTTTATTTTTTTCCCTGTAAAAATCATGTTTTTATATTTTTTTTACTTCGTTAAAAGCTAATTCATTTTTTTTATAAAAAAATCACTTTATTTGTGTTTTTCTGCTGTTTTTTTTTTGTTTAGTTCTTCTCTTGGTATTCGTTCACCTTTAACTTGGATTCCATAGGGATATAATTATATATTATTTGGTTCGGACTTCAAATTGCTATATATATGTGTATGTTTGTTTTTAGTTTCTTGATGGTCCTGCCCTTTTTTTAAAAAAAAACAACAAAAGAGAAAAGAGAAGAAAAATGGGGAGCAACGAGCGGACAGATTCATCGGATTACAGGACAGAGCTCCTGTCTCCGGCAGCATTAGGAACATCAACGGCCGACGGAAGGTCGCCGGTACACGTGGCGGCTGTTCTTCCGTCTTGGAAGCTCCATATCGACGGTCTTCATCTCCCTGATCCTCCCTCCTCCGATTCAACCTTCACCTCTCTCTGTTTCTCCAATCAATTCGGTAATCCCTGTTTACCTTGTTCCTGCTTAAGACATCGTACATATACATATATACATATACGTGTGTGTGTTTTGCTGTTAGGGAGACGAAGGAAGATCGCCAGGTATTACAAGAAGCAAGAAAAGCTCGTTGAAGGGTTTCGAGGCGTCGATTCTTTTACCGAGTTGGGAGTTTTCCCTCCCAATCTCAATAACCTCTCTCAAGTAAATGCCCACTTTTCCACCTTTTTTTCGTTTTTAACCCCAAAATTATTCAAAATTACATATAAACCCTACGTTTTATGTGAAGGATGGTGCGATGGAGAGAAGCGAGAGAGTGGCAGTGTACACATCGAATGCGGCGAACTTGGTTTTGTTCATCGCCAAAGTGTATGCGTCCGTACAGAGCCGGTCCATGGCCGTGGTTGCCTCCACACTCGACTCTCTTCTCGACCTCTTGTCCGGTTTCATCTTGTGGTTCACCCATCACAAGATGCGAAAACCGAATCAGTACCGATACCCGATTGGCAAGAACCGGATGCAACCCGTGGTATGATCCGATTTTTCCAAAATGAATTGAACCGGAAGAGGGAAAAAAAGTTAATAGTAAATCTTACTTAATGGTCCGGTTTATCTATCGGTTTGACAGGGAATCGTGGTTTTCGCATCGGTTATGGCCACTCTCGGACTACAAGTTCTATTTGAATCGGTCCGAGAATTCATCTCAAAGGTTCATATCATGTTATTAGCCACTTGAAATTTTACTAAATGTATTTCAAGTTTTTATATCAAAATGGGATGATATTTTATTTTAAAGAAAACTTATTATATATATAGGCTCAACCGGAGAGAGAACCGGAAAAGATGTGGTGGATGATCGGAATCATGGTGTCGGTGACGTTGGTGAAATTGGTGTTGATGATGTATTGCCGGAGATTCGAAAACGACATCGTTCGAGCCTACGCTCAAGACCATTTCTTTGACGTGGTCACCAACTCCTTGGGCCTAGCCTTCGCTGTTTTGGCCGTCCGCTTCTATTGGTGGTTCGACCAACTCGGCGCCATTCTGGTACGTCCACGTGGCACCCTATCCCATAACTCCTCCGGTTCAATCCGGTTTAACATTTAATCGAATTGCCAACTATAAATCTTGATTAAAAACAAAAATGAAAACCAAACTAAATTTGATTCATCTCGACTCCTAATCAAACCAAAACCATTTATTCCAATTCGGTTCGGTTCAAAATCAAACTTCAATTTCTTGCACTAAATTTGAATCCAAACGAGAACCCGAATCAAACCCAACTTAAATTAACTGCACTATTCACTTGGTTTTTTTCATCAATTTATTTTTTATACATTAAATGATTTATAACTCCGTGTGAATCCAACCAAAACCAAAATCGAACCAAACCGATCAAAATTTTTCGCGGCTTTTTTTAAATCGGATTAACGTAAGCAGATAGCTCTGTACACGGTGGGGAATTGGTCAAAGACGGTGAAAGAGAACGTGAAATCGCTGGTGGGAAGAGGGGCACCCGCAGAATACATAACGAAATTGACGTACATGATATGGAACCACGACGAGAGGATCCGACACATAGAGACAGTTCGGGCGTACACATTCGGCACCAAGTACTTCGTGGAAGTCGACATCGTCTTGCCTTCGGAATTGTCGCTCGGACAAGCCCACAACGTCGGCGAGTTGCTTCAGGAACGGCTCGAGCTTTTGCCCGAAGTCGAACGGGCCTTTGTTCATCTCGATATTGACGCTACTCACCAGCCCGAACACCGGCCCAAACGCCAATAAATTTCCTCGGATTCAGATCCTCCATGTATCCATAATTATTGTCTTTTTTTTTTGTTTCTTATTATGAAACTGTGGTCTTATTGGTCGTTTTGTTTGAAATTTGTAAAATTTTATGTGATGCGTAATCATTTTAAGGCAAATGTATTGGTTTAGTACACTCATTGATAGTGATTGGGTTTTTGTTTAAACATATTTAAAAAAATTAAATTTTAGACATGATTTAAATAGAAAAATAAGATGAAAAATTTGAGTATAAATAATGCATAGAATATACAAAATAAATAAATAAATCATAATTAAATTTAGAAAATCCTAAATAAATTATATTTAGAAATTATTTTTGTAAATCATAAATAAATATACAAAAATTATTTTTGAATATAAAGAAATACAACATAGCTTATTCTTAATAGTGGATTTTTGGTCTCCACAAGAAATATGGTCCATTTCTAGTTTATATTCGACCAACAAATAAATAAACAACTAGTAATAAATAAATAGATGGATGTGAAAATGATTATACACCATATTTAAGTTTACACACACATACACACACAAATTGGTCCATTGTTTTATAAATTGACAAGGGGAGCGAGACATATACAAGTGTACTCACCATGATGATGACATTATTCGTTGAATAATATATCCATATAATATTTATGAAATCTATAGAGTCATTGATATATAAATAATAAAACCAAATTCTTATGGAGAACATATATATATAAACAAATAATACCGATATAACTTATTATTATGAAATTCTTACATTTTATTCTTTTTAAAATCTATTGAGTCATTGATGTATAAATAATAAAACAAAATTCCTATGGAGAAGATAGACTTCCCTTAGATAAAATTTGGTTGGTTTTTCCTTTTTGTTATGAAAAATTTAGGTTATATGTTTCCATATATACACAAATACGTATATTTAGGTACATGTATACCTATACGTATATGTGGAGAGAGAGAGAGGGAGACGACGTGGCGCGTTTGTATATGTGAACTCCCTTGCTAAAAACAAGCAACAAATCGTGCAACATGAATACACGAGCAAACGAATCGTCGTTTCTCTCTCTAACTTTTCCGGAAAACTCGAACGCGCAGAGAGAGAGAGAGAGATCTGCAATGGCGACGGAGGATCTCCGCCGTTCTGGCGCTGCCTATTGCGATGCCGAGCTTTTGCCCCAGGATGATGACGCGCCGCCGTCTCCTTCATCATGGCGTCTCAACCTCGAAACCTTTCGCCTCCCTTCCTCGCCGTCTCCCGGCGGCCGCCATAACCGTCTCACGCGCATCTCCCGCATCCTCCGTACGACACCGAGTATGATTCTTCACCATCTATTTTCCGCAATCCTCGTCCCTGCGATCTGTATGTATGCATACGCGTCCGTGTATGTATATGTGCATATACGCGTATATCGTCCAGGATCATGGATTATGAAGGGGAAGTTTATCCTGCGTGTGAAATGTTGTTTTCATATGAACCAAACAGAGGAGTGATTACACAATGAAGTTATTACACTTTACCGTGAAAGCTGTTCTTCAACTGGAACTGGTTCGGTGAAGAAATCGTACCATATATAAACCCTCTAGGAATTTTTTCATGATTCACTGTTTGCCGGCATTTTGTTATTTACTGATGATTCGCTGCTTAAAAACCCTCTAGAAATCTGTTGTTGGAATCCGAATATTTATATCTGGACAATTCGATGAATATAGGATTCTGTCTTCCATATGGAGTTATTCCGAAATGCGTACGATCAGAATCTGGATGGTTTCTGGTCTCTTGTTCTAATTCATAAATTAAAGAGTATGAAACAGAATTATCTCTTTATTCAATGAATGGTGCCAACGCACAGTCATTTCCTATAGAAATGACTTAAAAGTTACAAGAATATCAGAAAACAACCAACTAGCATCAGCGTTGCTTGAATTTATGCCATAAATTAATCTCATGGTTTTGCTCTTGTTGTTACTCCACAGGAAAAGAGCGTAAAGTTTCCGAGTATTACAAGAAGCAGGAGAGGCTTCTTGAGGGTTTCAATGAGATGGAGACGATCAATGAAACTGGTTCTTTAACAGGAACCCCAACCGAGGTTCTGCTCATTTCTTCTTCTTATTGTCACTGCAGTTCTATACGATATTTTGTTCTTTTCTTTACATTTCAGATCTTTTTTATGCCAACAGGAAGAACTGAAGAAGCTTGCAAAGAGCGAGAGGCTGGCGGTTCACATCTCAAATGTGGCTAACCTTGTGCTCTTTATTGCAAAGGTTTATGCTTCTGTTGAAAGTAGATCCATGGCTGTGATTGCTTCAACTTTGGACTCTCTGTTGGATCTCTTGTCCGGGTTTATTCTGTGGTTTACCGCAAATGCCATGAGAAAACCAAACCATTACCACTATCCAATTGGGAAAAAACGGATGCAACCTGTGGTATGTTCTCTAATCTCTACAACTTTCTCCTTGATTCCTTTAAAATCTAATGAGCATCCATCTTTCCACAGTTCACCATTCATTCCTTTCCTTCCTCTCTGCAAGTTCACCTATTGCCCTTTGTTTGGTTCTTTCTATTGACTATTTAGTCATCGATCCACAATGGACTTATTTGTCTCGCAAATTATGCTTATAGCCAAACCAGATGGCCATGACATATAAAACAAAAAAACAAAAAAACCCATACGATTAGTCGTAAAATTTGTTATTTTGATGTCGGGTCATCAGTGAAAATGAAAATCGTGGCGCCTGAAAACTGCAGGGCATCATCGTGTTTGCATCCGTGATGGCAACTCTTGGGCTGCAAGTATTGCTCGAGTCAGCCAGGCAACTTGTCTCCAAGGTACCGCATACGTTTCTCAGGCTGCATACACTTCTTCATAAGATTATTGGCAATTCAATCAATTCACCTCGTCTGATCCGTGTGACATTTTATCTTTTGTACAGACTGGTCCTCATATGAGTAGCAGCGAGGAGAACTGGATGATCGGGATTATGACTTCTGTAACTGTCGTGAAGTTCCTGCTCATGATCTATTGCAGGAGATTCCAGAACGAAATCGTCAGGGCCTATGCCCAGGATCACCTTTTTGACGTCGTCACCAATTCCATAGGTCTAGCAACCGCAGTCTTGGCTGTAAAGTTCTACTGGTGGATCGATCCTACCGGTGCTATTCTAGTGAGTAAACCCCTCAATAAAAATGCAGAACAAACCATGCCTTCGTCTTCTTAAACATGGATGAGGAATTTGAATCCTATGTTTTTTTTTTTGTGTGTGTGTGCAGATTGCGTTGTACACAATAGGAACATGGGCAAGAACGGTATTAGAAAACGTCCACTCGCTGATAGGAAGATCAGCGCCGCCGGAATTCCTGACGAAGCTGACGTTCCTGATATGGAACCACCACGAACAGATCAGACACATCGACACTGTCCGAGCGTACACCTTCGGATCGCACTACTTCGTGGAAGTGGACATAGTGTTGCCCGAAGACATGAGACTTCACGAGGCACACAACATCGGAGAGACCCTTCAGGAGAAGCTCGAGCACCTTCCCGAGGTCGAACGTGCCTTCGTCCACATCGACTTTGAGTTCACTCACCGTCCCGAACACAAGTCTAAGGTCTAATCACTCCCCACCTCTCTCTTGTCCGCTTCTCTTCTTTTTGGTGTTGTGTACAATAATGTTTCTATTCTCGTTGGTGTGCCACCAAACTCTCTCATCGACACTTCCTTTTTATTCTTTATATATCGAACCTTCAAGGTTAAATAAATGTGTGTATATATAAAATAGTTATTTTGAATTCTACAATTAAAAAAAAATGTAGCCACTTGTTTGTATATTTGAAATTAAAAAAGCAATCGATTTCGTGTCCCACTTCTGCCATCTGAAAAGAAAAATCAAGAACTAATTAATTATTAATAAAAGAAATATACTTGGATATTAGGGAGAATGGTTGGGCTTTTTAAAGCCCAGACCAATTTTAAGGCCCACAAAAGTTGAATAAAATAAAATATATACTTCGAAGCGAGAAGGGCCCATTTCGTTCCCTAGGGTTTTTTGGTTTGCCCTAATCATTCGCTCTATTTAAACCTCCCCTGGCTGTAGTCATGCTGCCTCAAGCCTCTTCCCCTTCTCCCGTGATAGCTTTTCCTCTGTCACCTTGGTATTCTTTTTTAATGTTGTAGATCTTTAGTTGTGATTCATAGGGATTGGTGATCCCTTCGAAGACTTCGGATCGATCTGATTGGCTTTGTTATCGGTGTTTTTTTTCCCCATTTTTTCCTCGGAATATTAGAGGCTGTGATGATCGTGCAATTATACCATCAAACTATGAGAGATTCGTAGCTCGGTGATGTGACAATCGTTTTTCCTGAGCCTTTCATCGTTTTCGCAACTTCAGTTTTCTCCGAAATCTACGATATTGTGTTTTTATTTTGTTTTGTCGGACTGTGAAACTCGTTGATTGTTGTCGCGTGAAAAGAAGGCAATAAATTAGAGTCTCTGATGCGCTCTGGATTCAATAGCGTTTTCAGCGCTGTACGTTGCCGACATGAATAAGGGTTGAGATTCTGGCACTTGGGTTTCCTCTATGATCCTCGTGCATTCAGAAACCCTTAAATGTACTTCCACTTCCTGCTGCTTGGCTTTTGTCCCATTTGTTTTGTGGTCGAGATTTTTAACCCGTAGGATGTCTCTTTTTCGTAAGCCACAAATTACAGTCAACTAAAAAACTCGAATATCATCCAGACCTTGACTGAATAACACTTCACTTTCTACGCTTGAACGATTGCGCCGTTCATTCACTGAAATAGTCAGCGTGAACGCAAGTACAGTGAGAAATCCAAAACAAATCTTGTCATCTTAAAATCAAGAAGAGAGTTCTAATCTTGGGCGTTTGAATTCCAGGGTGTTAAATTACTCTCTTGACCCTCAAATTTCTCTCGATTTTTTCAGTGTAACCCTATCGATTTTGGCGGCATTTGCATGTTTTTATTATTTTTTAGTTTGTCTTACTAAAATATGAAAGCTCTGTAAATTTTGCTGATATTAATATTATAAAATACTTTCGTAACAATGCGGAATCACAATGGATCCAACAAAATAAAATTGGTAGAGAGGGTTGAGAATGAGAAGAATGGTCGTGATATTGATATGCGGGTTTCTTACCCAAGGAGGATACATAAACGCCTTTAGGGTTTTAACCATGGAAAGGTGTGAGATCGATTTGGTACCTCTGCTTCCCCTTCGTGACCCTCTGCGACAACCCACGAGAAATGTCTCAGGGCCTTGCTGGTTTTGTACAGAGAAGACAGATTGCTAAAGACAACGATGGAAGAGAGGCACTTACAGCGATTGCCGTGAGCTCCTCCAGGAGTTCTTCTAGGTGACGCAGCGGCTATAACAAGAGGACAACATACGGACTTTCGCTAAATTTTCGCAGATTCATGGAATCAGTAGGCGTGTTTTATAAAAAAACTCACCCATTGAGTCGGGCCATCAACCGGGGCATTAAGAGGATCATCATGCACCTGAAATGTATCCCGGGCATTGTAATCAAATCGGAACCAAAAAAGAAGCCTTTTTGATCAAATAATGCCTTGAGCGGCGGTAATGTCAAAGAATGTTATCTTACTTCCATGAAAATTCCATCGATGCCAACAGCTACAGCTGTTCTGGCGATGCATGGTATTAACTCGCGAAGGCCTCCACTAGCAACACCCCCTCCATCCAGCTACAAGAGATTGTATGTTTGTGTTAAGACCATTCTACATATAGTCTTTGTCACCACCAAGCATATCCTAAATCACTATGGGAATCTACGGTTCCTGGAAATCAAGACAACCAAAATGATCTTATAAGATATAACCTTCTTTCCAGCGGGCTGTTGTAATGAATGAGTTATATCAGCAACCTGCAGGCAAGTCTTTGAGATCCATAGATGTACACTTACAAGGGAATATAGCGAAAACTGAGAAGTAGACTTTTTCAACAACAAAAAAGGAGAGATTTACTTACAACAGGACAATTAGCTTCTCTCATCCATTCCAGATTTCGTGGATCAACAATCAGATCATCTAAATATACAAACAAAAGTGCAAGTCAATCAGACCATAGAAACGAAAAAGTAGAAGGCGATCTGTATTTGGTATCAAACTTCCTTGTACTTGAAAACATATCACTGTTATTTAGTTCCAAAATATTTGCATGGAATCGAAAGGTCTACATGCTGATTTATGCCGTAAAATTCTATCAACACGGAAAAAGTTGAAAAACACCCTAAAGCATGCTTCTGGCAACCATCATCTGAGAAAGAGTTGATGACTTACGGTATCCAAACATAGTTCCTCTTTCGCAAACCATCACATTTGGATTGCCAGCCAGTCTAATCTTCTCAGCCGAATTTGTCATGACCTTAGAATGGATATACATAAACCCAGTCGGTAAAAACATGCCAGGGAAAGCATTTGACCAGTCGGAAAGAAGTCAGAAGAGAAAACTCACCGAAGGAGCACAAAACTGTCCTTTCTTAATATTGATAATTTTGCCGGTTTTGGCTGCCTCAACCAGAAGATCTGTCTGGAGTTAAAATCATGAAACTTGGATGTAAAACACAAACACATATCAAATTCAAGTAGGAAGGTATCATGACAACCAAAACAAGAGATTTGTTGAAAGCATATGTTAGTGTCTTGCCTGACGACACAAGAAAGCCGGTATCTGAATTATATCTGCAACCTTGCCAACCGGTTCACACTAGGAAAACAAAACAAAGCATCAGAAAGAAAATGAGATGTGTTGAACCTTAAACCTGCACGAGATGAATACATTAACTTATACCTGGACAGTTTCATGCACATCAGTTATTATGGGTAGATCATATGCTATTTTCACCTTCTCAAGAATCTGCAACAGAGAACTAACAAATAAGACAATCTGGAGTATTCTCGTGTGGAAGATGTAAATATTATACAAAAACCATAGCGCCTAATCACACATTATATCCACTCGGGTGATATGTGCTGGAGAATTGTAATGCACTACTACTTCTGGAGATAAATTATCTTAAAAAGTGCAAAATGACAGTTTCATCAATATTTAGGCATCAAATAAAAAAGACAGAAAATTATCAAACAGCAAACAGGGAAAATTTACCTTCAATCCCTCAACCATGCCAGGCCCTCGAAACGACTTTGATGAAGTTCGGTTAGCTTTATCAAAACTTGACTTGAAAACCAGAGGCAATCCAAGCCTACGGAAAAATGAGAAAAAAAAAGGAACAAAAGCATGCATTAGGAAATTGCAGAAGAAATCACATTGCTCGATATGTCACCTGTTCCATCTCACTCTCGAAAGACAATGTTTGTGCGGTGAGAGGATAAAGCTGTGCAATATGACAATGGCAATAGATGGATACATACACTCATACGGGAGAAGGTTTCCCTCTTTTTCTCCTCCATTACTCTGTGATGAAGTTTTAAGGCTCAGAAAACCAGATTTTTCAACGCCATTTATTTTATTAGTTCTACCCACAAGAAGTGCATACGATATATCTATGGCAGAAACCAAGCTAATTGTGCTCATTGCCATTAAACTTCTGTGGAAACTTCACAAATGGGCAAAATGGTACGAAGGAGAAACACACTCAAAGATACAAACACATGGACACAAGAAAAGAGCTTCACAGATGAAGGTAAGTACGAAGGAACATACTTTGTCGCAATGCCTTTTATGTTCTTCGCCATTCGAAGAATATGTTCTTCGGATTCGATAACATTCGGACCGGCCAACAGGAAGAACGGTTCAGAAGCCTAAAAA